TTAAATTGTTGTCGATTGTTATAAGGAGCACCCCACTCACTGCATCACCGCCATTATGGACGCCGAGTCCAGATACTTAAATATCTCATAGAGCAGCTCATTGCAGAAGCTCAGCAGATGATACTTTTGTGGCTGCTTCTCCTCCTGCTGCTGCTGCAGCGGCTGCTGTTGCTGCAGCTCGGTTCTGCGCTGCTTCGGCTCCGGTTGCTCCTGCAGCGGTTGGGGCGCGTCCGTTTGCTTAAGCTCGCATTCGGACAAGCGTCGCTTTTGCGCCGCAACAAAAGCGTTATGTACACTATTCATATTGCTTAATGCGCGGCAAGCCAAATTTTTTTTCTTGGAAAAAAACTCAACTTTTTGCCGAAATAAAAAAAAACGGCAGCTAAAAAAAACGTCAAACCTACCAAAAGTATTTTTCATTTGCTATTCCCAGGGACACACAAACAGCTGTTATTAAGCAGCACGATAGTTAAATTCATCGATAGTTGACAGTGCTGCATAGTGGCGTTGCTATGACGCTTTACAGCACTGCAAGCAGCGCAGGTTATTAGGTCGTTTGTTGTGGCTTTGGTTCTTTGCAGGTTTATTCAAATATAAATGTTAATTATAAGGCAACTACGGAAACTAAATGCTCAGCAAAGACTCCAGCTGGGTGTGGAGCAGACGCGACGCCCCATGGCTGATGCGGCTCAAAAGAATGCCAGCTTCCAATACGATAAAGATCCCCAACCGCTGTTCACAGATGCCGAAACGCAGCGCCTGCTTCAGTCCATGACGCAACTGCAGCTGGAGGAGGTTTTCCGGAAGCGCACCGTACCGGACAACAGCACGGTAACGAAAATCATGACTACCACACAACTTGAAAAGTAGTTGGTTCAGACCATTGAAAAGGCAAAGAAATTACTACAAATGCCGCCGGTTATTCAGATCAAGGAACCGGCGATGAAGGATTTTGCCGACATCAAATACATTTTTACAGACATCACCTTTGGTCTGCGAAATTCGAAAGGCGAAATTGTTGTGCGAATTGCATGATTGGACACCGGTACGGTATCGAATCCGGCAACAGTTCCCTGAGCCCCTTTATGGCTCTAAAGCACTGCAGATCTGATTCGTTAACGGGCGTCAGACGCAAATCGAGCACCTATTCAAGGTAATAGGTGAGGTTTTAGGACTGTATATAAACACTACTATATATAGCTCAAAGCAAACCTCCAACTTTTGAAAGCCAAAGCGTGCCGCCAAGGTGCCATAGGGCACTAATTTGCACACCATTTGGCAGCCCTTTAGGCTGAGTCGGCGCAGCGAGGGCAGCTTCGAGAGCGCTATGATGTAGGACGGCTCAAACCAATTGTTATCCTCAATGCTCAGGTCCTATTAGAAAAAATTTGCGTTTTAATAAGGTCTGACTCCACTTGGGGTCGCCCACAACTACCTCCAAGACAACCAATTGCTCTTCTATTGTATTAAATATGCTCTTGGCATGATCTCCAACCTTTACGCTGCAATCCTTGAGTGTTAAACGCTTCAACGAGGCTGGAAATTCCGATATATGTATCTGTTTAAGATTGCAGGTTAAATAATATATATAATTTGAACGATTCACAGAGCTACGCACACATTCAAAGTCTAGGCTGACGCCCTGCAGCTCCAGGACCTTCAACTGTGTGGCCACCTTGGGAAACACCGAGGTCAGAGTGCATGTGAATTGCTTAAACTCGCCGGCAACATGCTGCGATGAGGGTGGCCCACAGATTTTAATAGTGTGCGTCTTCTCTGTAGCACGTCCCAGTATCTCCTCCAATATGCCCAACGGCAGCGGCGCATTACTGAGATCAATATTGTGCCAGAAGCGATGATCCAAAAGCAACGTCTCAAAGCGCGGCGAGCAGCTAACCAAGACAAAGGAGATTAAGTTAAATTGTTGTCGATTGTTATAAGGAGCACCCCACTCACTGCATCACCGCCATTATGGACGCCGAGTCCAGATACTTAAATATCTCATAGAGCAGCTCATTGCAGAAGCTCAGCAGATGATACTTTTGTGGCTGCTTCTCCTCCTGCTGCTGCTGCAGCGGCTGCTGTTGCTGCAGCTCGGTTCTGCGCTGCTTCGGCTCCGGTTGCTCCTGCAGCGGTTGGGGCGCGTCCGTTTGCTTAAGCTCGCATTCGGACAAGCGTCGCTTTTGCGCCGCAACAAAAGCGTTATGTACACTATTCATATTGCTTAATGCGCGGCAAGCCAAATTTTTTTTCTTGGAAAAAAACTCAGTTTTTGCCGAAATAAAAACGGCAGCTAACAAAAAAGTCAAACCTGCCAAAAGTATTTTTCATTTGCTATTCCCAGGGACACACAAACAGCTGTTATTAAGCATCACGATAGTTAAATTCATCGATAGTTGACAGTGCTGGATAGTGGCGTTGCTATGACGCTTTACAGCACTGCAAGCAGCGCAGGTTATTAGGTCGTGTGTTTTGGCTTTGGTTCTTTGCAGGTTTATTCAAATAAAAATGTTAATTTTAAGGCAACTACGGAAACTAAATGCTCAGCAAAGACTCCAGCTGGGTGTCGAGCAGACGCGACGCCCCATGGCTGATGCGGCTCAAAAGAATGCCAGCTTCCAATACGATAAAGATCCCCAACCGCTGTTCACAGATGCCGAAACGCAGCGCCTCCTTCAGTCCATGACGCAACTGCAGCTGGAGAAGGTTTTCCGGAAGCGCACCGTCCCGGACAACAGCACGGAGACGAAATTCATGACCACCGCACAACTAGAAAAGGAGTTTGTACAGACCATTGAAAAGGCAAAGAAATTACTACAAATGCCGCCGGTTGTTCAGATCAAGCGGGACACTGAGCACATTATATCCAAGGATCCGGCGCTAAAGGATTTTGCCGACACTAAATACGTTTTCACAGACATCACGTTTGGTCTGCGTAATTCGGAACGCAAAATTGTGGTGCGAGATGCGGACGGAACCTTAGCCTATGCCCCATTGGAAACTCGGAAACGCATGAATCAATTATATTTTCCATTGGAGGGCCGCCGATCCTATACCCCGCGTATGTTCACCCACGATGAGCTGCTGCAGCGTTGTTTGGATGATCACAAATATGAGTTCGTGCTGGATCGCCTGACGGTGCAATATGAGCCCTATGAGGCAGAGTTCCATAACTTTTCGGCCAAAGTCTTTGCACATCTAAATGAGTCCAAAGAATTCGATTTGCTGCGCTCCACCCGCCACTTTGGACCGATGGCCTTCTTCTACGCCTGGCATCGCTGCATTGACGATCTACTCTACGACATGATACGCCGGGATTATCTTCACAATGCTGTTGAGCTAATTGCGCTCAGCTACAAGATACACCAAGTGCCCATGGATTATAAGCCAATTCTCAGCCAGTTGGAGGCACTGAAGCCAACTCCCGCACAACGGGCGCTTGCCGAGCTGCTCAGCTGCTTGAAAAAGCCAGCGGAAAATGCCATTGAACATGAAATCCAAACGGCCATTGGCAAAACGGAGCAGGATTTCGCCGCCGATGATCTCAGCCTGAAGTTCATCGAACAATATATTGGCAGCAAGCATGCACTGAAGAAGGTGCAGTTGGAGTTGGCCGTGCAGACGCTCAAGGAGGTTAACCTGGAGAAGCTGCAGCTGTATCGAGGCTTAAAGAAGGCGCACGGCGTACAAGCGTCATAAGAGCGCATATATAAACATATATTTTTTATTAATGTTGTTATGCAATAAAAATAAAATATAAATTAGGAAAATTCTTGGTTAATCATTGCGTTAGGAGTCGGCGTAGACGCTTATGATGCTGCAGGACACAGCGGCGCTTGTGGAGGACACAACGAAACGCATTGCTGAAACGCTTCAGGCAAATGGTGCAACGATGTACCTGGGCTTTGACATGCGCCTGTCGCGCACTCTTGCCCAGATATATGTGTTTGGCTTTGCTGCAGGCGGAGACCAGCATGCGATGCACCAGAAATTGTGCGGACGAGCTAAAGCTTTTGCGGCACTGCAGGCAATGATAGGCTTTAACGTCCAGATGCTTCTTCAGATGCCGCCGCAGCTGTCGCTTTGAGGCGACCATAAAACTGCAATGCAGATGTGGACATTGCATATGGATCTGTGGTCGGCTGCGGGCATGGGGACGCGCCGTGCAACTGTAGCCATGCTGACCGATCAAATGCTGATGCATGATCAGCTTGCCGCAGCTGAAGCATAGAGCACGGGGTCCATAGTGCATCGCCATGTGCCGCTGATGCTCCAGCAGATAGTTAGCCACCTCGCCGCAGATCAGGCACTCGAGCATGCCATTGGGAAACATGCTGGTGTGTTGACTCACATAAGATAGAAATTTGCCCTCCTGCTCCATGTTTTGTTTATCCGGACCTGTCGACGGCTGCGGCTCAATCCACGCTTCGTCATCTTCTTCGTCATCGTCCCGCTTGCATTGTATGCCCACATCTTCTGTGGATATCGTCTCCGTTTGTATTTCTCGCATGCGTCGGGGCACGCTGTTATCCTGCTTAACGCTTTCTGTTGTGGGCATGATTCGTTGCTCTTTCAGTGTCGGCTTATAATTATCAATCGCCCACAAAGCCGCAATATTTTTGCTAATTTTTGAAATCCCTTTAATATTATGTTCCTTGGCAAACTGCTGTGTGATGCAGCAGGTTTCAACGCAGACGTACTCGGGCAACTCGTAAACGGGCACAACTATGGGCGTTACCTAGGCGATCAATATATACATGCTACTGTGAGTGTTTTGTTTAAATATCAGTTGTATATGAAAATTAACACCTTTGCTTGGAAATGTTGCATCTTGCCGCTGAAATTCTTGACAGCTGTCGATATCGAAATCGATAAGCGGCATTCACAGCCTGCTGTAACGATTATTAACCATCCCTGGTCATCACCAGCAATCGACAAAAAATAACAGAAAAGAGCTAAATGAATTTGGCGCATTTTTCAAAAGTTATTCAATCAATATGTAATTTTAGTTGTTTATTAAAACGTTACAATTTAATTCTAGTACACTTTTGCTTATAAACGAAAGAAACAAATCATCGTCAATTGGTACAATCATCATCATATTTTATACACCACTATCATAATCCGAACTTCTTATCAAACAACAAACGCAAACACAAAAAATATTACAACTTATAAATTGAGGGCGTACAAGGTAAAAATAAAAAAAGACTGCAAAATATATGCGTGGACAGAATATAATGAATATAAAATCAGTTAATGTCTCTCATTTGGGGCATAAAATCGCCGTATTTTATGTACAAAACGAAATGTCTTATATGTATACGAAAAGTTTGTAGTTGAACGTGCGCGAATGTTAATTGGTGGGCCGTAAAGGTAAAGCCTGGATATTGCGGAAGTCCCTTTTGAATTTATCAATAAGTCAAGTTTATTATCTCATATTTTTTTCTGTTTATGTGTTGTTGTGCTGTTCTGCTCCTGTTGTTCCATTTTATGGTAATTCTAACTAAATGTTCTCATTAAGAGTTAATCGCAATAAAAGTCAAGTTTTTGTTTGTTTACTTTTCAGCGAATTTCTAGACGCTCTACCACTTCTTCTTGTGCTCATCCATGGATACGCCACCGGGGCCCAAGGATACAATCATGAGCAAGCCACCGATGACCGAGAGTGTCTGTAATACGTATACACATAAGCACACAAAATGTTTGAATCTAATCTAAAGAGACTTACCTGGAAAAAGTCATATTTCAAGAAATCCCTGAGCGGTTTGTATGACGGAATAGTCCACCAGGCATTGTGATACAAATTGAGAGCAGTAAGCAGCGCCACCAGAATTAACGCTGAGAGCTTTGTCTTGTAGCCCAGCACAACGAGTACCATCAGGGTGGATCCAATTATATCCTGAATAATATTCCACACGCTTAACTCGAAACGGATGAGCGTGATGAACATGAATGCCAACAGTATGCGGCCGGCCAACTGCATAAAGTTCTTGGGTTTGTTGTCGCCCAGAGATGGCACGCCCGCAAATAAGCTGCGCCCCTCGATCCGGGCTTCGGCAAGCACCAGCAGCAGAGCTCCGATGAGAGCAAAGTTGCGTAGCAAGAACTGAAAGTCCCACAGTATGGAATAGGCTATTGTCTACAAAAATAAAAAAGACGGATTATGATTATATACAAGCCACAAATAATATATAATTCATTGCTCTCACCTGTAGCACCACAATGAAAAATAGCAGACCGACCGCAATGTCGACCTTGAATCTAGCCATAACCATACCACAGCCGCCCAGTTGGCCAAACAGATTGGTGAGCACGAAAACGGTGGCCAGAAACTTGCCGCAGCCCCAGCTCATGTCCATGTATTCACGCTGTTCGTTCCATTGGAAATACATGCGCAGGCCATCCTCGAAGAAAGTGGCAATGAGACATAGCCGTGCAACAGTTGGTAGCACATATTTGCCGCGCTTGATAACCTAAAATTTGAATACAAATAATAACAGCAAGTTAATTGATAACAGATTTTCGAGGGCATAATCTATTTACGTGAGTGTCTGTGTGTGTGTGTGCTTACGATAGTGCTGTAAAATGAGGTTTGAACAGTAAAATAAATTATGCTAAGCAATAGATTTGCCCAGCCATTTTTCCCTGATCAATACACTGAGAAAAATTGCGACATTATTAGCCATAGAAAACGCTTTGACAAAAGCAGTTCTAAAAAACGGTTTAATTCAAAAGAAAAATACATTTTATTTTAATTAATACTTTTAATACACCTTCTTTGCTCTATTGTAAAAGTTTTTTACAACACTATTGTTAAGTAAATTCAGAGATTTTAAATCTACAGATATCAAAATTGGCGCCTTAAATTAGCATTTTTTTTAAAGATATTCAAGAATTTTGCATTAGACATTCGAATTTTACGCCAATTAGAATTATCTCTGAGCACCATGCGTTCGTTAACTGGTTTTATATGATGAAATATTCGAATATTTTTTTTTCTTGCATCAATTTGGATTGAATTTGTTTTACTCTGATTCCTTTAACACCCCAAGCACATTTTCTCTTTCATGTACAATTATGTATACTTTTCTTTTAGTGTATTTTTCAGAGATGTATGAAATATTTGCGTACGCCGGCAAAAGCATTTGATAAGTTAATGGGAGTGGGAGTTTAAATGTTATTGAAACATCGATAGGGAAGCGTCCACTTAAGTTGATTGTGATAAGGGCCTAGAAATTTACAACATGCTGGAGCGTGGCTTTTTTTGACAAGACACTGTTGATTTGGCAAGACAGTGGCGGGGCATGACGTGTCGCTCAGCTGCTCTTCCGCGTTATATTTTATATGAGGCGCTATCTCTGTATCTCTTCTGGCGTGTAACGGGTTTTCATGCCTAGCTCAAGCGATCGCTCAATGCATAATTTAAATATTGAAACATGCGCTCACACACACACACTTATTATATCGTATGTATATAAGTCTTCAAGCGGGCTGCCAGATTTTCTTTTCCTAAACTTATTACGGAACTCGCCTAGTTCGAGATGGACGACGCAACATTTATGCCGCTCACTCTCACCACTTTCACTAGTATGGACTAAACAGTCACGCACACACGCACACACACATGCTCGCACACATATACATTCAGAGCGTATGGCGTATTCTCAGCAATTGCCAATTAGATATAATTCCTAGCTGCCAGCTGCATTCCACCTATGTAGCTACCGAAATTGTGAGTTAGTTGATAGTGGACAAACCTAAGCCAGCAGGAAACCACTTTGGAGCACTCTTTGCCAGCCACTGGTGCTGCAATTGAGCTTCGAACTTTGCCGCGTTTGGATGACGTTGGCAGTTTTCTATTGCTTTTACTTTAAGTGACATCGAGTATATTTCCAGTTGGTCAGCCGAAAATGTTGATTAGACCAATTGCAAATGGTCCCCCAATGGCTGCAGCAACATAATTTACAACTTTCACAGCTTATGATCCTAAGAGAATTACCTGTTCGGCCACATCTTCCGTTTTTGCAATATATTCGTTGGGTATGCTCATATTGGCGGCAGCTGCTGCTCCTGCTGTGCTGTTTATGCGTTATTCCAGGACGACGTCGAAGCTTGCAGCATTCACGTTTAGTTTTAAGACACACGTAGCGTTTATCGTCACTTGGTTCACGAAATTAAAATTAACAAAAACCAGAAAAATCAAAAAACACACAACACGGGCACACAAGGCTGGCAGAGAGAGCCAGATGGGCAAATTGTTATCGATAACAATATGGTTGCGATTATCTGAGACTGGCGATTAATTGACATTGTTATCGTGCAGTACAGCACAGCGTGCCAGATCTTTTTTATTTTAAAGATTTTTTTTTATTTAAAACAAAATAAATAAAGATATACAATATATATATATATTAAAGATTAAGTTAAGCACACTGACAAATGGCTACAGTAGTTAAGCGACAAAAGGTTGAAGATGAAAAGCCCAGCACCTCAAAACAATGTCGTACGAAGATAAGTAAGACGAAAAAAAACATGCAAAACGCGGAATTTTCAACCGACTGGGATGTGGAAGCCTATAGAACTGAGTACGAGAGCGAGGAGCACTGGGAGCTGCGCCGTGACTTTATGCTTGCGCACAAAGATCGCTTTGATGAGGATCGATTGGTGTGTCTAGCACAAACGTTCATCAACATGGAGTTCATGGGCTGCAAATATCCAGCGGAAACCATGCAATTAGTGGCGGAGCTGTCCAGAGATATTGCCGAGAAGTTTCGCAAAAATCGTGAGCAACGCCTGAAGCGCACATTTGTCTCCGCATCGGATGCAGCCGAACAGCGGGCCAAAGGTAGAAGGAACAACAAATAATAGCATTAAATATGTACAGTACAATTAAGGACGGATGAAAATGTGTTATATTACTCGTAAATATATATGAGCCTGAAACCACAAAAGCTGATTACATATTCCAAACAACTAGGGCGTGCCGCTGCCAACAGACCACCACATTCACTGCAGGAGCGCCAAATCCAAACATCCAGCGCCACCCAAAATCGCCTGTGCTTCGGCGGCGGTGAGCCACTGAATCTTTTTGAAGGCCTGCGCTTTGGAAATCTTATTATATATCTTGCGGGCGGACGCAGTTGCTTGCGCAACGCGTGCAACATAGCAAAAATGAAATACGATGAGCGCCTAAGCGAAACTCAAACGGACGATATGTCCAAGACAGCAGATATACTAATAAACGACGAGGTCATAGCCAGCGGCAGGGGCGAGAATCCAAAGGCGGCCAAACTGGCCGCATATAAGCAGGCAGTGCTGCTGCTGCAAACGCACTGCTACAGCATAAAGGTAGGCAATACCCGAAAGATTAGCGTGTTGTAGCTTAACATTATAAAATTTTTCTCAGTTGAATGCAGCGCGCGAGACCATCAAGGTCGAGAAAAGCAAAAATGGCGTAAATATAAATGTCACCAAGGAGTCGGCTGACAATCTGTGCGACGCCAAGCTAGATGCAAGCAATAAGGGCTATCATATGATGCGTTTGATGGGCTGGACTGGCGGTGGCTTGGGGCGCCAAAAGCAGGGACGCGAGGAGCCCGTGGGGTAGGTGTGGCCTGCCTTAACCTGGCTGTCTTCATTCAATTATCTGAATAATTTTTAGTTACCTGTTAAAAAACAATCGCATGGGCTTGGGCTCCAACGATCCACGAGGCAATCTGGCCGATTATCGCAAGCTTATAGAGAACTATGTCAATTCGGAGGATATGCGCGACATGCAATTTGAGCCCACCTTCTCCAAGGAGGAACGCGCCACGTTTCATCAGTAAGCGAAATTCTTCAAACTTATTGCAACTGGCAGCTTATTATGTTCTGTATGTTGTATGTTTAGGATTGCCGGCAAATTTGGACTGCGCTCCAACAGCTACGGTACTGGTGAATCTCGACGCTTGCTTATAACTAAAAAAATCAGCTATAATATAATACTCAGCGAAGTGCTCACCCGACGCAACACCAAGTTCTGCGAACGTTATTTTGTACAGGTGCCCATGCAGAAGGCGCATCTGTTTCCAGGTAATGTGGCCGCGCTGGATTTGGAAAATATAATGGAATAGTTCAAAATAGAAAAATTTTGTTCGGTTTCAAGCTTATGTATATTGGTCTATATAAACCAATTTCAGCACATAGTATTTAAGTTGAAAAGAGAGAAAAAATACATTTTAAGTATTTTATAACTTTGAATTCCAAACAAGTTGCATTTAGTTGTTTACGTTTCCCAGTGAATACAAGCGCGGCGTAGCTGTTTGAATGGCAATATAGAAGAAGCATAATGCAACAAGAGATGCATTTGTGTAAGCGCATCTTTGTTCTATTTCTATTAAAGATACAATTTGCTTGTTAGCCGAGAGAATGAGCAAGTGTCCTCGTTGCAACTGCGAAGCAACTGGACAGAATCGCCTGGTCACTGACAGCTGCGGCCACAGTAAATGCCGTCTGTGTTTGCTGGCAGATGTATCCGATTGTTCTGAGTGCAAGATAACAAGGGATATACCAGAAGCAGGTCCTCCGGAGCAGCCAGTGACCATAGTGAAAGCGATAGCGCACACCACCGCTAACCATATAGTCAGCACCACACAGGGCTACCATTGCACCGTGTGCAACAAGTCCTTTCGCAGTCGCACACAACAATATTATCATCGCGCCTGCGGTAATGAGCAGCTCAAGAAGTTCCACTGTACGCAATGTCCACGCGTAAGTTGCAGACCGAAAACGCAATTTAATCTCTGATAATTTTATCTGTAACTACAGCGCTTTGCCACACGCTCGCATCTGAAGTACCACCAGAACAGCCATGGCAATTCCAGCTACAGCTGCTCTATTTGCAACAAATCCTTTAAGCAGCAGTTTCTTTTGCAGCGCCACATGCGCGCCCACAATTTGCCTGCATTTAGTTGCCAAAATTGCCCAAGATTATTCCGCAGCCAAAGTGCACTGACGGCGCACGCAGCGTTGCACAGTGGCGACAGCTTGCCCCACAAATGTGCTACCTGCTGTAAGCACTATCTAACCAAGGCCAACCTTAAGCAGCACCAGCTGAAACATGATCAAAACACCGCACGGCACAGCTGTAGCGTGTGTAATAAATCTTTCCTGCGCCCGTCCACGCTCCGACTGCATCAGAAACGTCACAGCAAGCGTCCACGCCGTGCCTGTTCCCAGTGCAACAAGACTTTCAATGATGCGGATACATTGACGCGGCACATCAAGCAGCACACGGCCATGCAGCAGTACCGTTGCATGCAATGCGAGGTCACCGTCAATCGGCGGGACAATATGCTGCGGCATCTACGCTCCATGCATCCGGGCGTACAGTTTGAGGCAGGTGTTCAAGTTATAGACGCTGAGCCAAGCGATCCGGTCACGTCAGCCCCAGCAGAGACATCTGTGCAAAATCTGCGCTACAACAGCGTCATCAAGAGCGTAGGAAATGTAGAGCCAGTTATGGTGCCCGTATCTCAGCCCGAGCTGGAGCCGGAAAAGCCACCGCCTGCTGCAGTGCCGATGCAAGACAAAACGCAAAAAGAGAATGTCAAACTTTATCGCAAAATCATATTAGATTTGGACAACGAGGAGTACTCCAATGAGCTGAGCAACGGTCTGGACATGGACGAAACGGAGACAGTGGCTAATGAGCAGCAAGTGACGCATCACACCCAGCCGCAACATCAACGCGTGGCTGGGCAGGGCAGCTCCAACTTCAGGCATTGGCGCAAGAACTTCAAGTACTCCTACGAAAACGAGCATACCAATTAAATAGTATTAGTAAACAGTTTAAGGCCCATTTAGACCCCAAACAAGATGTCAAATGCCTTATTGACATAAAGCATGCGAAAAGCATTTTACAACGAGATCGGCTCGACACACTTATTTATATATAGCTAAATGAAACGCTGGCCGCTTGCCACATGATACCCTATCCAAGGGTATTATAAATTTGTATCAAAATGTTTAGCGCATATAGCGCTATGTAGTCAAGTCCGTTGGGCTGTTTCCATGCAAACTAGTCTAGTTTTTAAGCTATATGATGAAATTTTAAATAGCTTCGTTCATTTGTTGTAGGTACCATATAAGACAGCTGTCATAGGAACAGTGCGTCGATAAGTGAGTTCTCGTAGAACAAACACTTCAAGATACCTTAACAAAACTCGGCAATTTCCATCGAAATGAGACTTATATGCCATATAGCTCCTGTCAGAACATTATGTTTGCCAGAGTATTTAATCGTCGATACTACAAAGTTAAGTGTGTTTGCTTGTTGGGACTACGTCAATGCCAAGGGTCTGCGCACCCCATAATGAGCAAATAATATAATAATATTATCCAAGCAGTATTCAATATGTGGAACGATGAAACGGAACTTGAGGCGCTGCGTGCGATCTATTGCCTAACCGAAGCAGCTGCAGCCAAGCCCAACTGGCGCAAATTACTTGCTCTGGGCAACACCCTGGAACGGGAGCTAAAGCGTAAGATACTCTGGGTATGGCCCACGGCACTGGATCTCAAGAACTTCAATCAAATACTAAAGGAGCTGGACATACGCAGCGTGCTGAGCATAGGCTGCGGCAGTGGCTTGCTCGAGTGGCTGGTAGGCGCTGTTGCTGAGCAAGGATTACGCATTTATGGCCTGGAAAGGGATCCAAACTGGTGGCGCAGCAAGTATGCGGTCCGCAGTTTTATACCACTAAACTACATTGAGGAGGCGTGCTCAAAATTGAATGCCCATTTCTTAAGCGAATGTTGCTCGGGCGTTGCGCCTTGTGCTCTGCTTTTCTGTTACTTTAACAATCGCAGCGCATTTTTAGAATATCTTAGTGTGTTTGAGGGCAAGTGGCTAATATTAATAGGCCCACAGCCTGCAGTGGGCATACACACAGAGCCTAATCCGCTGCAGCCGCAACTACCCGACGACCAATGGGCGTTGCATCAGGTTACCAACTGGACTGAGCAGAATTTGGTGGCTGTTTACGAGAAACTACCGTAATTTAGCGGCACATGTATTTTGTTTATAATATTTATAATAATATGAATAATATATCTAACTCCTATTGACCTCTATGTGAAACCTGCAGGCGGGTATTGTCTGCACCTCCGCGGTAACTGTGCTATTGATGCCCAAATTGCTAAGCGCCCCGCGCACCAATCCACAGGTAAAGGCCACAAATTTGGGCGCCTGCTCCAGCTGCTTGGCCCCCGGTGAGATGCGTGTAAGAAAACGGAATGCCTTGTCCTGCACCACGTACATACCGTGGTTATTGGTGCGTAAATTGTCCACTTGCTTTTTGTAAATCAGTGTCCAAAAGTCGGTGCATATAAATTTCATGGTCTCCAGTTCGTCCTTAAAGCGCGTGACATCGCGTGTGAGTCGCTCAATCAGGCGATAGCCGGTTGTGAAGCCAATATACTCCAAGGTGGCCAGATCGTGTTGATCCTGCAAAATGGAAATTTTTAATAACGAGGCAATAAAGAGGTTAATTGTCTTTAAGCACACCTTACTGTTATTTAGGCAGTAGTTGACTATTTCTGCATGCAGGCAATCAAAAACTATTTCCTCCGACATAATGAACACAAAGATGTTTATTTTCAATTAATTCTAGTCGCACTCAACAGCTGACCGCGACGTTGACATGTGAATGGCAAAGTTGAGCTTTGCTTACCTCTGTCAGTGGGTAGACATCCCCGCTGGACAAATTGATGTACACAAACTATATGGCTATTAGAAAAAAATTAAATTAATTAAGAACAAACAAGGCGTGCGGTGCATTAGTTTGTAACATGGTTAGCCTCGATCTGCGGCAAAGCTCAACACTGCACAGCCTAGTGTGCCAGTCGATTCTAGTGCTGTTGTGCCTAATCTGTTATGGCTACGGCGGCCTGAGCGGCGCTAAGTTTGTGTTTGATGACACCGTGGCCATAGTTAAAAACAAAAATGTCAACACGCTGCCCACCAATTGGACGGCCATCTTTAGCCACGACTTTTGGGGTGCGCCGCTGTTGAGCGCGGATTCGCACAAATCCTTTCGGCCGCTGACAACGCTCATGTTTCATTACGAATACGCCTTGCTGGGCTTAAATGCTGCTCACATGAAGTTTTTGAACCTGCTGCTGCACTGCGTGAACACGTTGCTCATATGGCGCTTGGTGCGGTCACTGTATGTGGAGGATATAGACATCGAACGCTGGGCTACCATTTCAGCGGCACTGTTTGCCGTACATCCAGTGCACACAGAGGCAGTATCCGGAGTGGTGGGCAGAGCGGAGCTCATGTTTGGCCTGATACACCTGCTCTGTCTGCTGCTGACAGTGGCCAGCGCTGACAAGCAACAGGGCGTGAGCAGCGTTAGCCTCATCCTGCTGCTCACAGCTATTGGCATGCTTTTCAAGGAGTCGGCAGTGACCATACCGATGTCCTGCGTCATGTTGGACTACTTTCAGAATGGCACCTACATGCTGCCGCTGAAGCTACAGCAGCGGGTTATCACCAGTCGATTGCGCTACGTGTGTTACCTCTGTGGCACGCTGCTGCTGCTGGTGTTGCGTCTCTGGTGGCAAAACTTTGAGGCGCCCGAGTTTAAAGCCGTCGACAATCCAATTGCACACAACGAGCAGCTGCTCACGCGCGGTCTGTCCCAGCAGTACTTGTATGTGGTCAACTTTTGGCTGATGTTATGCCCACAATGGCTGTGCTTCGACTGGGCTCTGGGCTGCGTTAATCTGGTGACCAGCATTTGGGATATGCGTCTGCAGGCAGTCATTGCATTCTACTCCTTTATTATTGTCACCTTGATGAACTTTCGACGCTTAGCAGGACTTTTGCTGGGTCTGGCACTGATGATCATTCCATTTCTGCCCGCCTCGGGCATTATACGCGTTGGATTTGTGATTGCCGAACGTACGCTGTATGTGCCTTCGATGGGCTTCTGCTTGATGTCCGTATATGGCTTCCTCTACTGTTACCAGAACTATGCGAAAAACAGCTATTGCCGCGCGGCGCTTCAGGCGCTGCTCATGCTGCTCTTTACCGTGTTTATGCTGCGGACGCGGCAGCGCGCTGCACAGTGGCTAAACGAGGAGCAGCTGTTCAGCTCGGCGCTGCAGGTATGCCCCAACAATGCCAAGGTGCATTACAACATAGCACGCCTAGCCACGGACACCGGCAACATCAGCAGGGCCTTCCAACATTACCAAAAGGCCGTCGAGCTGTATCCCGAGTACGAATCGGCGCTCATGAATCTGGGCAATCTGTACCGTGAGAATGGGCAGCTGCAGATAGCAGAGAAGTATATACGCGCCGCATTGACCGCTTATCCAGCATTTCCGGTGGCCTGGATGAATCTGGGCATAGTGCAGTCGGCACAAAAGAAGTACGACCAAGCGCTGGACAGCTATAAGCAGGCCTTAAAATATCGCTCCGACTACGCCGTCTGCTACTATAACATGGGCAATCTGTTTCTGGAGCAGCACCAATATGCCGAGGCACTGCATCATTGGCAGCATGCGGTCGCCGTGAATCCACGACAACCCAAGGCCTGGGCCAATATTCTAACCATGCTCGATAATCGCGCCATGTACGAGGATGCGTTGCGTATTTCGGAGCAGGCTCTTGCACAGTTGCCCAACGAACCGAGTATCATGTTTATACGCGCCAATGTCCTGGGCAAGCTGAGGCACTACCTGGAGGCGGAGACGCTCTACAAGCTCGTCATTGAGCGCGATCCAAAGAATATGCTTTATCACACGAATCTCGGTGTGCTCTACCATCGCTGGGACAAAGTGCAAGAAGCCATCGAATGCTATCAGACTGCCATTAGCATCAATTCCTTGCGTGCGACAACGGCGCGGGATAATCTTGGCAAGCTCTTAAAGCGCTTGAACCGCGAAGCATACAAGGAGTCACAGTAAGCAAGGGTTTGATACCTTTTAAAGTTGCCTAATCTAAGTTGTAGACATCTGGTCATAGGCGTAAGTTTCATCTATGTATATTCATAACATTCCTCTATCTAAGACCAAAGCGAAAGAAAGAACAGTGTGAACAGAAAACGCAATGGATAGTGCAAGCGTGATATTATATTCTATCTTTCGCCCTTATTTCCTATAATGTCCCAAATTTTACAGACAATCGCTGATAATTATATTCTACTTATGTTTTTGCTGCTAGTAAAACGTTTACATTCCACGACAAAGTTTACGAATTCCGCATAAAAAAGAATACACAAAAAATAACTAAGCATACCGTAAATCATTTTGTAATTGTTGACAAGGCGTTTACGAATGCGCCACTAATTATAAAAATTAAATACTTTATCAAGAAAGTCAAGCCTGAAATATTTTTATAAACCAATCAATCACATATTTCGAATTGTTTGTATGACATCAGGCTGCCTTATCAACAAGCCACAACTTGAGCAAAAAACGTTTCTTTGCTCTTTAAAGTAAACAAAAAAAGCGGTTTAAAGTTTCTATCACCGTTTGCGATTGTCTGGCGCCCGTCCATTGTCTTCATATCATATCTCATAGATAATACCGATATCTCTGACGACTTAATCAATAGATCATCACTTTCCTATGAATCTTAACTCTTTGATATTAAATAAAAATGTATTGCAAGTAGTTAAGTAAAATTTGTATCTAGATATTAAGCTATATATTTATTATTTGATTTTTTATTTAAGGGTATGTACAATTAATATTAAAACTAAATAATGATCGAATAACTAGATGAGAAACATAATTTAATTACAATCTAAGACATAAGGACTACACAAATACTTTCGAGAGCAGCGCGAAAAAGTTGTTGATCAATTCCATTCGCATTACAAAATAATAATACCGAGAATTACATAAACTATTTATACATACATATATATAGGAATAATGTTGACAAACACACACAATCAGAGCGAAACACAGGCAAACTGTAGGCACCAAATAAAAATTATTTAAAATAGAATAAAATAAATTTGAACAAAGGTCGAAAATGGTAAATTAATCACAATGCATAAAAAAACAATATGATAAGCAACTGTGCAACTTATATGTATATGCATATGTATGTGTGTTTGTAAATGTATAATAACAAAGTCTTTGTTGTTGAGATGCACGTCTGATGTTTAGTTTTAGGCGAGCTGGCCAGCGAGCAACGGCGAGACAACTTACTTAGCAATTAGCACAAATTATAATAATTACAAATAATCATAAAGAAATGAAAATAATATAACACAGTTTGCACAGTAACCAAGGCTGTGAATGAGGGGTATATGTAAGAGGGCATTAGGTTGTTGGGCAATCAAGACGTATTTCTATATAACATATATATAGTATATGAGGGTGTTTTAGAGCAGCACAAACTCTTCGCTTTCGCTATCATCCGGATCATTCTCATAACTATGCAGCTGCGCTGAAGAAGCACCATCCTCCAACTCTTGGGTCAATGCCGCCACCTGCCTAATGAGTGGCTTGTACAGCGAATCGCTCATTTCATCGCGTGCATTATCCAAGCAACGACCACGCGAGAATGTAAACAGCGGATAATTCATCTCAATTTGCTCCGCTTGTGGTAGCTGCTGCTGCTGCTGAGATTGTGCAGCTGTTTTGTCCACGGTAGCACCAGAAGCGCAGCGCATTGGATGCAAATACTGTGACAGAAGTGACAGATTTTAAAATTGCCCTAGCTTTGGATAAATCTTGCTCCACTCACCAATTGCACGCTTTCCACAAAGCTATCGAAATCCGTTTTGGTGGCACAATAGAAACCAATGCAGCAGCTGGGATCCATTTTGCTGGATTTTAATTTGCGTGGCGATTTGCAGTGAAATGAATGCATAGAGAATGTCTCCTGATTAACATCAACCATCTCCTGGCAGTAATGGGGATCCAGGTGTATCAGCTTGTCTTCCTGAAAACCCACAAAGTATAGCGAATGCTTGGGCTTGCCACCAATAATGCCCAGGCAGTGCTCTGTGCTGAGCAGCAGCTTCAGGCAGTGCGCATAAACAGGATTTAACTTGTCTGTGCCCAGACGCAACGGTATCAACACAATCAATGATTTCCAATGCTGCTGTGGCTGATCAAGCTTCGGCGCATCGCTGGCCGATCTCTTGGTCGTCTGCTGCCAAGGCACGTGCGGCTTAGGAGCCGGCTCGGGTATGCTGCACTGCTCCTCAATGTCTTGCATGTAAACTGTAAAGGCAGGAGTGAAAGTGCGTGTAGGGTATATACTAAATAGGATATAGCTCACTGGTGCAATCCTTGGCCACGTATACGCTTATATTGTCAAAATCGGCATTTTCTTGAGCGGCATGCTCTAAGGCGTGTCTGTGGACAAGAGGTAACTGGACTTAATAAGTGAAACACATCACAACGTAGAACTGGCACTCACTTTAATAAATAGGAGACCGATGCGGGGCCATACCAGTCGCCTGGCTTCTTGCCTAGTTGCTCGCCCAGGCGTACCAGCGCGTGTATAGAAAAGGGGCTACTTTTAGAGGAGCTATCGCCAAACCACTTGATTATCTTCTTATGCATATTATCTTCATAAGTGGAGTGGAGCTGCGATTCCGCATCATATCGCCAGCCTGAAAGAAAATTATCAGCATTGGGAGGTATCAATGCCTAGTTAGGGTCTACTTACTGCGACCCAGAAAGTGACAGATTAGGCCCTGCGCAAGCAGCATTTGGCCGCTGCGCAGCATGCAGCCCCAGCCGCAATCCGAGGTATAGTTGGAGCCATTCATAATAGGAAATTCACGGCGATAGGTCATCCAGATGCGACTGTAAAAGTCACGACGAAAACCCTCAATGCCCTCTTCCCAAGGACTTTCGGCCATTTGATTCTCAGCTGCATCCATGCCCAGTTCTTGGGGTACCACAATCTCATCAATTTGCTGCGGATTTAATGTGGGATATATGGAGGAGGATGTTGCCGTCGCTGGTATGCTATCAAATGCCGATGTGGCATTATCTGGCGTGGTGTCAGCACCGCTGAGCAGCTCCGTGGTGGAGTTTTCCATGCTGACGGGCGGCGTATACCTTCGATGATAGCAGCGTCCCAGCAGCCAGACTGGCTGCTCCTTTGAGAAGCTGGTCTGACGCATCTTCCCCGTCCAACCATACTTGACATTGTGCCACATAGCCACCAGCTTTGACTCCATGCCCTTGGTAGGTGTGCGATTCGCCGCCAGCTCCGGATCATCGTTATGCAGCTCCAGGTGACCGTCACCGTGGTTGTTGCTATTGCTGTTGCTATTGCTATTGCTATTGCTGTTACCGCCATAAAGCTGACTAAAGGCATTCATGAAACGTGATGACGTCGATATTTTGCGCTGTGGTGTCGCTGTCGCAGCATTTTCCGATTTCGGGTTTAGGTTTGCACTTGTCGCAGGTGCTGAAGTTGCTGACGCAGCAGCAACAGCAGTGGCAGCAGTAGCGGCAGCTACGGCTGTATGGGGTATAGTTTGTATTGGGGCTGCCTGCTCCTCCTCGATGGCGCCATCCTCAACGTCGCCCTCGACCAGGGCGGCGGCACCGTGGTCACTGGTCTCGTATATTACCAGCTTTTCATCGGTCAACTTGGAGAGCAGTCCATCATAGTTCATCTGTTTGGATTTGGAAGCCGATGAGCGACGGCGCTTTGTACGTATTTTAGATAATTTACAAAACAAGGGCATGGCACAGACAATTCAGTGTGAGCCACTTGCTGGCTCTGATACCACTGAATCATAAGCATTCTGCTGCCGTGTGGTGCTGATTACCGATATTTACTCACCATTTATTTGTTTAAATATGAGAATGATAAAGTTAAGCTTTAGTTTTCTGCGTGTTGGTACTCGTATTCATACGTTTATGCGCAGCACAAACACAGTAAGTTCTTTTGACGTTTATGTTATGCACATGAAATCACGACCAGTCAAAAGTTGGCTGATTGCGTTTATTCTTTTTCACTTTAATTAGTTGATAGTATTTTAATATTTCTTCTTAACTAATATTAATATTATAATATACATCAGAATATGCTGATCTAAACAACCCATAGCAAACAAATATTTATTCGCAGAAAACATTGTGTTAAAATTGATCGCAAGATGTATCTTGGCATAAACTTTTTATATGCGTTTTGCATTGTTCTGTACAGGTGTAGAGTTGCCACCTGGCGCTGATTAGATGCAACTCTATTTTAATCTGTTTATCCACAAGATGCGTTCTATTTATTGCCGCAACTGGTATAAATACAGCGCATTTGTCATTCCTCTGCGAATGCATAACAAAAAACAATTTGCATTAAATAAAATTTGAAAAAAAAAACTCCAACATTTATTCTATACTTTAATCGCTGCGTACGGCAACACCGTATAGATCGACTGTTTTGTTATTGCGCAACTCGCTGTGCAGAGGGGTAAAAAATAAAATAAAAAGGAAATTCAAAATGGTAAATAATGCAAATGAACACATAATTAAATTTCCAATTAGATGCTAACTTAACGCGCAACAGCAAAATCCAATTCAAAGGTTAGCCTACACGTTCGGTCATCGTGCCTATTTCCAACTGCCACTGCTCTGCGCTGCCGGTGCAAGAATTATAGAAATAACAAAAATTAAAATGCCGATGGCAAATTCCACGCGCCTCTCCTCATCCTCCGTGCTGGCCACGGAATCATCCAACAAAGGCATGATCATTATAAACAGGCCAAAGGCCTTGAATGCCATCAATCTAGAGATGGTGCGCAAGATATACAAGCATCTGAAAAAATGTGAAAAGTCGAAATCGCTGATGATTATCAAGGGTACTGGTGATAAAGCCTTCTGTGCGGGCGGCGATGTGCGTGCGCTGGTTGATGCCGGCCCCACAGATGAATCAAAGAGCTTCTTCCGGGAGGAGTACACTGCCAATGCATTGATTGGCAACTACAAGATACCTTACATTGCACTTATCGATGGCATTACCATGGGCGGCGGCGTTGGACTCAGCGTCCATGGAAAATATCGAGTGGCTACCGATCGTACGTTGTTCGCCATGCCTGAGACGGCCATTGGACTGTTTCCGGATGTAGGCGGTTCATACTTCTTGCCACGCCTACAGGGAAAACTTGGCTTGTATTTGGGCCTGACAGGTCATCGATTGCGTGGCGGCGATGTCTACTATGCGGGCATTGCCACACATTACTGCGTGAGCAGCAAAATAGCCGAACTAGAACAAGCACTGCTTAACTGCCCGGACGCCGATGATGTGCCTGACATATTGAAAAAGTTCCACTCCCAGCCGGAGAAACCATTCTCCTTACAGCCCGTGCTGGAGCAAATTAACAAGCACTTCTCGGCCAGCTCCGTAGAGGGAATACTTGAGAGTCTGCAGAACGATGACAGCGATTGGGCGAAGAAACAGTTGGAGGTCAGTATTCAGCTCATAAATAGGTGATAAGCGACGGGCGGTTCAACTGCTAATTGGCTGCGGCAATCAAAATACCACGCGCTCAAAGCGCATAAATATTTAAACAGTATTATATAAAGTATATAAATATCTGTTAATTAGCGCCTCGTTGTTAAAGCCACGTTTTCACAATTAGCAGCCGTCGTTAAAAGATCACTTTTATTTATTTACATACCATTTGTAGATCCTTTGCAAAGTGTCGCCCACATCCCTGAAGGTAACCTTTCGCCAGCTGGAGCTTGGCGCACAGATGTCGCTGGCCCAATGCTTGATCATGGAATATCGCCTCGCTGTGCGCCATTTGGAACCGCGCGCTGACTTCAAGGAGGGTGTTCGCGCACTGCTCATCGACAAGGATCAGCAGCCCAAATGGCAACCGGCCACGCTGGCCGAAGTCACCGAGGAACATTTGCAATGGTTCTTCAACAAACTGCCCGACACCGAGGAGCTCAAATTGTAATGTAGCTGCAGCTTGCGTAGTTTATAGCCCGCAAATTCGTTTCTGCTTCAGTTATCCTTCGTCTTCCTGTTATCCTGCACCATTCTACAAAGCCAATGCTTAAACATTTCCAATTTTTATCACCATTCAGTTGAGCATGCATTTTTTATCTGCCTGATATTTTTTACAAGATGTTTACAGCGAATCCTGCTAAATCTCTGAAATCTCTTTTATCTCTATTCCAAACAGCGACTAAATCATGGCCAACATGTATTTACCCTTCTAACGAGTGTGAAATTTGATGCATTTATATATGATATATATTTTATATACAGTTTATATATACTTTTAAATAACAAACACTAATTGTGC